AGGGGGTGGGGGTGGGGGCTACGACCACATTATCCCGGCGACATTTGGTATGGTACTACAGACTCGCTTTCTTCATCTGGGTGAGGAGTTTCTTTTCCACAAACCTTTTCTGTGCTGCATGCAATGCAAATTGACAAGCGCAAATGGTTAACCGGATGTCGGCCTGCGCCCTTTGGCATTTCAATGAGGTAGCCTTTGATCATGCCGCACGCCAAGGGAAGTGGCCAAACTCCAAGCGTCGTCATGCTTCATTATGTTCCTGGTACCACTGTGTCCTCCGCTGGTATCAAACTCTACAGAATACGTATAGCCGTTACCATTGCAGTGACATGTGCTGGGAATCGTGACCATGGCACACACTTTCACATCCACGCCCGAGGCCTCGTGACGAACCCGCATGGCATAAAAGGCGATCAACACCGTTCACAGCTCGTTTAGCACCTCCAGTAAGGACTCGTGCACAGTCGCTGCAAGCGCATCATTTACAATGAGTCATTGATGTTGCAACATCGCAAGTGTCTCGATACGCGGCGGTCCGCCGTCTTCCCCGCATTTGCCCTGCCGTGGCTTAGAGCAGATTTGCGAAAGCTAGGGCTTCACACACGGACCAAACAGCTTAATATACTGTTTAGGTAACAGTTTTCTAATAAGATGATTGCCTCGGGCAAGACAAGGCTGGAGATTCCATATCGTATGGTCCTCCGTACCAGCTATCAACTGGACCGCACAAGATTAGGCTTCAGCGTTGCGGCCCCGAATAATGCAGTCGCCACTTACATATTTGCACGGTTCACTTTGACAACAGTCGATAAGAGGCCTCAAAAATGAGGCATGAATGGATCTGTTTTACTCCAAGACTTCCCATGGCATTACTTGGAAAAAGTCATCCGTCAGTGAGTGGTCTAGCGACGACCAAGAATGCACAACACCCAGCAAAATACGTCTTTTGCGGCATGCGAAGAGTGAGGTGATGACATACATACGTGTTTATCATCATGCAGATGCTTGGTACGCGCATGTGAATGAACCCTGTCGTCTTTGGGAACCCATTTTAATAGGAGCTATGGATGCATTGTAATGCTCTATATTCATAGATTTGGCATGCTAAGGTGCTCGGTCTTGAACCTTACGCTCTACACATGCACGGCTGCCGGCTTCAATGGTGGCTGACGAGACCTGCCAAGCCGGGCGTGGTGAAAGTGCATAACATAGTTTACATGATTGCGGTGAAGCTGTTACATAAATGAATACTAGTGTTGTGAGTGGACGTTGGTCACCGTAAGCTGAGATACACGCCTATACAGTGTTCACGGCTCCGTCTGTCACGATCTGAGATCATAGTGTGTCCCATTCGAGGCCGGTTTCGAAGACTGCCGCTGCTGGCGCCTCGATCAGTCACTAGCGCGCTCATGGGGTCGACGTTCTTAAGATAGCTTAGTGCTTTGTAGACAGTATTAGTTACGCCTCTATGTGGCGTAACTGGTTTCACGCCTCCACCTGCTCTGGTAGCCGGATCCAAAACCAGCTGTTGAAAACGCCCGAAACGGGCAGGTTCATAATTTGTTTACGTCTGCGCGTGTGTGCATACGCTGGTCCACATCTTTGCCAGCATGATTGGCCGTTTTCTTCCCTGTCAGTATCAATTAATGTCATTATGCTGTGATGCTTGGTGGCCAAGATCTAGACCCATATTACCCACCGTATTCAGTTTTTTTGTGACACTTAGTCTTCCGCATCCCAGGGAAGTTGGATGAGAGGAAACATAGCGGTGATATTGCAACGGTGCAGACCTACGTCGTCTAATCACACGAGAGTACTGAGCTGTCTTGAAATCTTGTGGCATTTTAAATTGTGGTCCTGTTGCGGAAATGTTGCGTCCGTGCATTTGTCGTTTAAAATATATGCCCTCACAACCGTGCCTGGTCAGACGCCGCTGGCTACAGGACGCCGCTGACTGACAGGTGCGGATCTAGCCTGGCAGTTTTTTTTTAGGGGGGGGGGGGCAA